CCACCCCGTCCCGTCCCGAACCAGGAAGGCAGCCCGCGCCCCCGCTTTGCACGGGGAGGGAAGGCAGAGCCCCCCCGCCCCCAGGGAGGCCAGGGCCCGAGCCCGAGCCCGCCCCGCACCTGGCGGAAGATGACCCCGCGGCGCTGAGCCTGGCGGGCGCAGTAGGGCCGGATCCGGATCGGGCCCAGTGCGGCCAGGCTCGGGCCCAGGCGGCTGCGACTCGCCCACATGGTGCCTGGGCTGCTGCGAGCCCTAGGTGCGCGGTCCCTTTAACGGCCCGGGTAGGGGGGCGGGGCGTCCAGCCTTAAAGGCACAGGGCACCTTAGGGGGCGGGCGTGGGACCCGTCTAGGGTCTCTGCCCCGGGGCTCTGGGGTCCCACTCCAGGGTTCCCACGGGGTCCGGGGGCAGATGCTTGGGAGCAAGGGCTCGACAGGCAGGGGGTGGAGGGGACAGGGAACCCACCCAGGCATCTAGTCTATCCCTCGCCCAAGCTGGGCTGGGACCCCAGGGGTCTGGGACAACCCCCGCAATAATTGAGAGGATGTGGTAGGAAACGGTTCCTTTAAATATGCACACAACCCACACTCCACGCTCCTGATTGGCTCCCAGGAAAATAGGTGGGCTGGGCTGCCTTAACCCTGGTGCCAGCCTGGGGGTGGTGGGCAGTGCTGTAGCAAGGGAGTGCTGACCACCTTGGCGTCTGGCTGCTGGCTCCCTGCCCCAGCCCAGGCACAGGCTGCTGCAGGAGCAGGGAGAGTTGGACACAGAGATAGCCCCGCCCTCCCAGCCAGGATTGCTAAACCCTAGAGGGAACATTGCCCGCCCCCGCCCCACCCAGGAACCCAGGCCCCGGACGCAGCTCAGAGCTGGTCAAGGGCACCCACATCCCGCAGGGACCCCAGGCAAGGTGGGCCCTGGCTGCAACTGGGAGAGCAAACGCAGGTGCCCAGGCACGGGGCAGGCTGTGAACTTGGATGCCTGGGCTCAGCAACACTTGTCCTGTGCCAGCCGCCACAGAGCTGCTGTCGGCCCACAGTCTGGGTCATTTGCATC